ATTAGGGCAATTTTAGTAAAAGCTGCGTTATACCTATAGCCGTATTATGCGGGCAATATGCACGGGTTGCACTAATTATCTTACGTGGCATAACTTGGTAAAATGAATGTTATGCCGTAAAATATCCTCGTGGTATAATTCAGTAAAATGCGTATAATCCACTTATTAACACTTATAGGAAAATTCGGTAAAACGGTACGTTTACTGAAATAATCCCGACGGTAAAATGATTTGATAAGGCGCGTTAGGATAATAAGAAAAGGCGAGGAATATATAACGTTACGATAAAATAATCCCAACATTATCTGACGGTAAAACGCAACCGCTCTTGCAGTGTTCCTTGGATTTTGTTATAAGCTAAGTTATGTATGGGTTTTTTTTCAACACTTTATTTGGTATTATTTTCAGAATTATATAGAGAATGTCCCCCTCTTGAATTACCCTGATGTCTGCACGGCCATTGTATGGAAAAGCCTTTTGCAAAGTTGTTTTGTCCAAGTTGTTGAAAAAGCTGGATTTCCCAGCAGTACTCGTGACTTTCTGAAAGCCTGTACTTCTAAAGATTTACTAGGTTATCTCAGGATTCATTTTCCAGATATGTAATTATGATGTCATGTGCAAATATTTCGTCATGAGTCACACAGTGTTGTACAGAGTGTATTGCCCACCGGTTTTGAGGGACAGGGTTGATTATATTAAAATTGTGCATGGAGTGATGGAAAAGAAGTTGTATATGGGTACTCTGTTCCTTAAGTAAAATATAGACTTCATTGTCCATCTTTTTAAGACCTTCTAGTGGTTTAGTTATTTCATATACATGCATGTCGATCATCATTGATTGATATTCCACATGAATACATTGAATGGATGATTGAATTAAAGTGGTGACTTTTCAACATTTTTGTATTTTTTAAATTTTTGCACACAATTGAAAATCAATTTAAACTTGTCTTTTTAGACTTATCAGTTGCTACTGGAACAGACATACACAAAGTTGACCAGACTGTGTCTATTATTCAATCATCTGAAAATACACAACATAGTGTTTTTCAATCACAAGGTAATCTATGTATCTTGGAATGTAGGCTTCTTTTGAAACACTGATTTCTAATGTGGAAATGAAGACTATACATCTGAGGTGAACAGTTATGGTTCAACTGAAAGATTGTCTTTTATGACCGCTGTATAGCCATAATGAGTTTTCCAAGTCTGTATATGGAATGATATATAGATAAAGACATAGTTCACTAGTGAATGCACTTAGTCATCATGATCAAGAATCGAATTTTTTTGGCGACATGGCTTTGTGTATTCACGCTGTGGCTAATCTGCAATTTACTTGTCATTCAGTGATCATATTTTCATGTCAGTCTCCTTTGCAACTTTATAGGTATGCAGAAATTTGAGTTGTCAAATCAAAACACAATCCCACAAATTCTGGATGATTGCCACGAGGATGCACCGACATCATGTCTTAAGAATGTTGGTGAACCAAAGCGTTTACGGCATTGGTCTAGGGGCCATCGGTTTATAGTTCGTGCAGGGGGACATATTGACACATTTGCACCTCTCTACAAGTAAGTGACAAGGGGTGATCCCATTGTACTTTATGTTTCATTTCCTTTCTACGTCATCCAGTTTTGTATCCGCTAAATYATGAATTACCAATTGTTAATTGGTATTAAATTGATGCAAATTGCCGACTGTGTATAGTCGGCCTGTTTGAAGAACTTCGTTTTTGCTTAAATGTTTACAGGTCTGAATCCCCTTCACAAGTCTTCTTAATATGTGTCAACTGGTTATATAATACAGTGAAATCTATGGCAGTGGACAAGTGATCGACTATCATCTTAGCATACGATGTGCCACTTGGATGGCCTTACAGCTGCAAAAAAGCCACTACCCTTTCCGGAACCATTCAACAACATGTGGACAAAAATTGGGAAAGTATTGGACAGGTTTCATTATGCAAACCACACTTATGAAAACTGCAAAGAATCATACAATCCAAGTGACCATCTCTTGGAAGATGACAACTCAGAAGTTGCTGAGCAAACCTTTGTCTGGGCAGGTAGATTTAAAAAAATTATCAGTGCCATGCCCAAAGTTCACCATCTCTTTTTTTTACACCGAATGGTGAAAAGGAGAAACAACTATACCGCTATACCGATATAATGCTTTGACAACCAACGAAATGAAGAGTTACTTCTTAAAAAAGCCAAAATTTTCGAAATTACTTTTTTTAATTTTACATTTCACACAAGCACGGCAGAAAGTTTGGCTATTTCGCGTGCTATTTTTAGCCATCAAACATTGGTCATGCAAAGGCAAAGTATGTGACATTGTTTAGCAATTTTSTTGTCAAAAATAAAATATTTTCAAAAAACAATTACACAGCCATTGTTACCTAATTATATTTTATCTTATCTTATCGATATATGACAAATCCATTCTCCCTGTGCATGTATACATGTAGGTACAGTAAATTGACATCCCATATCAAAGAACAAATTCTTTATTTTGAAAATCCAGATGTTTACAAAAAACAAATTGTATTAKAAAGTACCGATTTTTATTGAAACAATGATATACTACACCTCGAGTGAACAGTCTTATTGTGCAAACATACATGTAATTGCTGTATTTTGAACACTTTCAACCTGAACAAAGCTAGGTTCTTATACGCGGGTTGTTACTGTATTCTATTGTATTTTGAGGTCCCCATTCATATAATCTTTATACACCTCATGATGAAGATCATCAATGAATATGTCTTTGATGCCCTGGTACTTGATGTGTATCTCAGATGTTTCTTTGTTTACTTTAATGACTTGGCCTTTATACGCCTTTTCCTTTCCRCTTACAAGGTACACATGGGCAATGTTGTGKCCAATTATGTCATCGCACCACTCACMTTRTTGTGARGAGCCTAAAAACAGGAATAGAAATGTTTTACAAAACTTGTAACATTTGTTTTRATTCTTTAAGAAAATGTAAAACCTATGTTTTATATTGTTTGAAATTGCCCCCCCCATAAGCCTTACTCTCTCTTTTACAGTATAGGACATAAATCAGTGGCATTGCTTGTGTAGACTTAACATTGTTTGTTTCATTATTCAATTAGCGATATATTAATATTTTTGTCCAGTGAAATAAATGCAATTTTTTTAACATAGTGAGTGACAAACATTTTGACTTTTTGTTAACAGAAAGACTAACTTACTTTGAAAGTCTTTTTTCTCTTTCTTGTGTGGTGGTTCTTTTGTGCTTTTTTTTCACTGAAACACCGTTTTTGTGCTTTGTTGATTGTACTGGTAACTAAAGTAACAGGAGACGCCTCATGGGTAACTATTGGAAACAGGCCTTTATCTGTTGAGTTTTAAAGGAAAAAAATGTTTACGAAAATGACAAAAATGTGACAGATGTACATTTTACTGCACGAAAATGAAAAATAATTATACCTTCCTCAAAGAAACCACATTCTTCCAAGTTACAATGAATTTGTGGTCCCTCCACTGTGTCATGAGTGCTTTGTTGTTCCTCCACTGTGTCATGAGTGCTGTGTTGTTCCTCCACTGTGTCATGAGTGCTGTGGTGTTCCTCCACTGTGTCTACAAGATGCTCGGCAACTTTCGGGCAACTTTTCCGATTTGGAGCAACTTTTTCAAGTTGAAGCAACTTTTTCGATTTGGAGCAACTTTTCCTCTTTTTTCTTGTTTTTTAACAATTTTTGCTTTATTTTTTACTTAAAAAATTAATTCATGTAAACAAGGAGGTCGAGTAAGAGCTGAGTTTTTGAGCTGTTTTTTTTTAAACTGTGTGCTTACTGATTTGTAATTTGCGTATGATATCATTGCAGAAATAATGGTCTTCCTGTGGTAAATGAGCTACGAATATGTTGGTRAGCGGTTGATAAATTTAAAGTTTATCGATCAAAACAAGATGGCTGCGCTATGGACGACGACGAGAGCACATGCTCGAGTGATTCGATTGATAGCATTGAACAAAGCCCGTTAACAATAGCTACCAATGCCYGAGCTACTTTAYCTGAACCAACAAAAGCTGTTATTGCCAGAAAAAGAAAAGTGCAGAAGAATCCCGCTGGAAAGAAGAAAAATATCCGTGGTACAGTCYACCCAAATATTTCTGCATGGGAGAGAGTTAAGGAGTTTAAGGATCAGCATCTTACTGTAGTGTCTGGTAAACTGAGATGCGACGTTTGTAAAGAAATTATATCAAAAAAGAAGAGCTCTGTTAAGAAGCACGTTGGATCTCAAACGCATTTGAAGCCAAAGGATGCCTACCAAAAAGATAAAAAGAAAGATCAGAGCGTCAAAGTCCTTTTGGCGAAGATTAGCGATGGGAAAGGAGTAACATTACCCGAAGAGATGAGACTACATCGTTTTGAACTTGTTGAATATTTCTTAAAAGCAGGGATCCCACTTTTGAAAGTTGATATTCTGAGACCATTTCTTGAAAAGTATGGTCATCGCTTGACCTCCCGTACGCATTTGAC